CCCCTCACACACACACGCCAGCCCGGGGCCCCCCTGGAATAGGGCTGTTATTGCCCCTCCAGACAGAGCTGCCGGAGCGGATAATTTCGGGCTGTGATAAACCAGAGTTAATACACGGCTTGCTGCTGAGCAACGCCAAAGTGTGCCCAGACCAGGATCCCGGTTTATAACAACATGACGGCCTCGCTGCAATGATTCAAACTGACAGCGGGCTTCCTCTTACGGCTCCCATCTTCCAGGCGTCCCAGCCCCCCAGGAGTAAATGGGCTCTTTACAAGCAGCTCACCCAAATAACCATGGATCTCCCAAGGGAGGCCAAGGCACCTTCCGAAAAAGGGTTGGGGCACTCAGGTGGAGGAAGAGAAAGGGTCAGATGGTGGAAGGCAGGACACCCGTGGGTGTCTCCCCGCCGGGGATGCTGGAGGCTGCGCTCTTCCCACCCTCTCTGGAACGCAGCAGATGACTGGACTTAGGGTTGCTGTCTCACACCCCAAAGCCATATCCCAGTTAGGAAAAACAAACGTTGGTAACACTCCAAATTCCCTGACTCACAGCTAGTTTCTGCCCTGTGTTAGAAGCACAGTTTGTGCTGGAATAAAACAACACTCTTTAAACATGTGATGGTTTCAGAGTTCCTGTCAGGACCCCGATACAAATGACGTGTGAAAAATAACTGCATGGCTTAAACTGTGTTGGTTTTATTTATAGTAAACCCCAGTACTCGCTGGTTGCATCCCAAATCCCCTGTGCTTTCAGCACCAGAGACTTCATGCTCCAACTCCCTTAGACGGGAAGAGTTTATTTCCAACTCTCCAGCACGGGCCTGGGGGAACTGCTCTTGACTTTCCCTTGGTTTCTCACCAAGAGGTCACAACAGCTCGTTTGCACTCAGAGCAGCAGCATTACTCTTACTTCATTTTCATAAACATCGGGTAGCACCCCCAACGGAGGGCTGAGTACCCGGAGCCTGTGGATGCCGAAGAGTTTGTACTGGTAGCGGATGACCTGCTGCCAGGAGCTCTTGTTGGGCCGTGTAGGGGATGGCGGGACTCGACCCAGGCGTGGGTGCCGGCCCGGGCGATGGAGCAGCAGACGGTGGGGACCTGCTCGCCCCAGCAGTGCAGCGCAGCAGCATCCCACCCCGCCTGTCCCCACGCTGTGGATCTTAGCTGCCATGGAGTCGAAGCAGCTGGAGATGCCGGTGGTCGGGCTGCCCATCACGGGGACGCGCAAGTACTGAACGTCGGGACAAGGGGTGTTCACCACCCCCAGGGAGATGCTGGTTTTCCGACATTTAGCAGCCCGATCCCTCTCTTAGTGCGTCCCACTTTGAGTCCAGCAGTAACGGGTTCATCAGCAATAGCAGGTGAGATAGTCTCTCCTGCGGGAATGTGCGGGATGCCGGGTTGAGTCTATAAGCTCAGAGCTGGGATTTAGGGTGGCATTAGACATTCCTGGACCTCCACGCACTGAGGAGGTCCCTTCAGCTCACCTCTCTGCTCCCGGGCAGCCCGGCTTCTTGTCCTCGGTACCCAGCCAGCACCACCTGCATCCTCTCCCCTCACCTTACTGCATATAGCCCAAGGAACTTTGCCATCTCGCTCTGGTTGGAAACCCCAAGGACCATGATTTCAGCCGTTTTTTAGCTTAAATCAAAGTTTTATAACATGGGGCAGCAAAGTCCACCCTCTTGACTGTTTCTGGCAGAACGGTAGGGCTGTGCCGGGGTCCGGCCCTGCGTGTCGGTGTGCCTGCTTAGGCGATGAACTGTGCAGCCCCATAGCAGTTATGAGTGAGAACAGGGAACAAAGCTTACTCGGCTTGACCTCTCAGGTGAGGTTTGCTCAAATAAGTCTAATACAGAAATGAATGTCTGATGGTTTCAATTCCCAGCGTCTCTTGCTAAAATCTGCACTTCAGACACGAGCTAGTGATGCCAACGGGTCCTGACCGAAGGTTTCTTTCTGCTGCCATGGGGTTGGCAGCCTCGCGAGGCAGAGCTGAGGCATCTTTTCCTTGGTTTGGCGTTCCCTAACCCCGTAACCCCGTGGACCGACGGTGACTTCTGGGCAGCTGTGTGCCGGGCAGGTCCTCCCGGACTGCACACATGTGCA